CATAGCCAAAGCTTTCTTATTGGGGACTGGTCTATTCTCCACGGTTACTCTCTGTTAGGATGGCATTTTAGGTTTGGCTCGCTTCCTTTTGTTTATAAATTAATGAATCTCTTTTTGTTTTAATGAATTGGGGTATCAATATTTGTCTGTGTTGTTTTGGTGGTTTTTGTTGTGAACAAGAGCCAGACACTTTTTGCAGAATTTTCCAGGTTGCATCTCTCTTGGTGGTTTGTTATGGAATTTTGGGAATGTTCCTTGGGTTATAGATGTAACGCCTGATTATACTACACGACCTAATAGGGCACTTATTGTGGTTCTTAAAGTGTATAGAGTATTTTTGCAGATTCTATGCAGTTTTCAATTTGGTGTTTGTCCTTTTTAATTTTGGTGGGCAAGCAGCCCCTCCATGGCCTTGGTTCTATGATCGTTCAGATTTTCCTTTATTGGTAAGTATTTCCTTTTGGTAGGGTCTTTTGTTTAGTGTTCCGATTTGTATACGGGTGAAGCCAGTCAAAAGTTACACAGCTCCTCACTATTCATTAGGGTTGTTTCTTAATTTGTACAATTTTCTACATTGTAGAATAATAGTGAAGACATCAAAACTATGAAATAACATATGGAATCATGTAGTAACCAAAAAAGTGTTAAACAAATCAAAATATATTTTAGATTTTAGATTCTTCAAATAGCCACCCTTTGCCTTGATGACAGCTTTGCACACTCTTTGCACCTTTGTCTCCAAGCTTTTGAGTGGTCTGTAGGTTTTTGTGTGCTCTAGGGTGTCAACGGTGTCAACGGTGTCAGCGGTGTCTAGATGGAATTTGAATTTGTGGTCCTGGCAACTGGACCTTTTTTGGAACACCATTATTTTTGTCTTACTGAGATTTACTGTCAGGGCCCAGGTCTGACAGAATCTGTGCAGAAGATCTAGGTGCTGCTGTGGGCCCTCCTTGGTTGGGGACAGAAGCACCAGATCATCAGCAAACAGTAGACATTTGACTTTAGATTCTAGTAGGGTGAGGCCGGCTGCTGCAGACTGTTCTAGTGAAATGATTGATTCCCCCTCCAGGATGGAGAAGCTGTCTTCATTAAAGTAAGGGGATTCTATTGGGGGGATATAGGTAGCATACATGAGGACATTTTTCTCTGTCTCTCTCTCTCTCTCTCTCTCTCTCTGTCTCTCTCTCTTTCTCTCTCTCTCTCTCTTTTCTCTCTCTCCTGTCTCTCTCCTCTTTCTTTCCTCTCGCTCCTCCCCCCTCCTCTCCTCTCTCTCTCTCTCTCTCTCTCTCTCTCTCTCTCTCCGTCCTCCAGACGTACCAGAGATCAGTGTAAGTCACAGCAGTAGCCTGATGGTGATGGAGGGTGATAATGTAACAGTCAGCTGTAATGGGTCAGGAGCTCCCCTCCCCGCTTTCCGACTGGACCTTCGCCGTCACACTCATCACACACTCCTGGTTGAGCGCCCCACCCCCAGGCACGCACGCACGGATGGACGCACACACACACGTACGCACCGGTACTCACATGTACGCAGGCATGCACGCAAGCTCACACAGATCACCCTATAGATCTCCTCTCCTCTAGTCCTCCCGTCTAACGGTAGTGTCTAATGTCCACCGACCCTATACTCTCCTCTCCTCTAGTCCTCCAGGTCAACGGGAGTCTAATGTCCACCGACCCTATAATCTCCTCCCTCTAGTCCTCCAGTCTAACGGTAGTCTAATGTCCACCGACCCTATACATCTCCTCCCCTCTAGTCCTCCAGTCTAACGGTAGTCTAATGTCCACCGACCCTATACATCTCCTCCCCTCTAGTCCTCCAGTCTAACGGTAGTCTAATGTCCACCGACCCTATACATCTCCTCCCCTCTAGTCCTCCAGTCTAACGGTAGTCTAATGTCCACCGACCCTATACATCTCCTGTCCTCTAGTCCTCCAGTCTAACGGTAGTCTAATGTCCACCGACCCTATACATCTCCTCCCCTCTAGTCCTCCAGTCTAACGGTAGTCTAATGTCCACCGACCCTATACATCTCCTCTCCTCTAGTCCTCCAGTCTAACGGTAGTCTAATGTCCACCGACCCTATACATCTCCTGTCCTCTAGTCCTCCAGTCTAACGGTAGTCTAATGTCCACCGACCCTATACATCTCCTGTCCTCTAGTCCTCCAGTCTAACGGTTAGTCTAATGTCCACCGACCCTATACATCTCCTCCCCTCTAGTCCTCCAGTCTAACGGTAGTCTAATGTCCACCGACCCTATACATCTCCTCCCCTCTAGTCCTCCAGTCTAACGGTAGTCTAATGTCCACCGACCCTATACATCTCCTGTCCTCTAGTCCTCCAGTCTAACGGTAGTCTAATGTCCACCGACCCTATACATCTCCTCCCCTCTAGTCCTCCAGTCTAACGGTAGTCTAATGTCCACCGACCCTATACATCTCCTCTCCTCTAGTCCTCCAGTCTAACGGTAGTCTAATGTCCACCGACCCTATACATCT